AATGAACTTTATCAATTTTTTTTGTATGTTTTCTCAAAAGTTCATTTTTTGGACCAAAATACCCCTAGTACACTAACCTAAACACTTAGGCAATTTTTCAAATCTAATGAAATGTGTACACTTTGGGATGATAAAAAATTAATAAAAGGGTCCTAATTGACAAACAAAAATTTTTAACAAATGTGTTCTATCAGTTTTAGTAAGCCATCATCAACCCCTTATAAAATTTGTCAATAATCATGAGGGATGCAAAGCCATGATAAGGGTATTGTTTGAACATAGTGTTGTATCTCTTCTAGGCCTCATGGAAAGGTTCCCTAAGAAAATGTGAGAAATTAAAGTTCTTGTCTCGAAGCTCTTTAGTGCAAAGTGGCGACTAGAATTGTGATATAAAATGCATTGTACACCTGCTCCCAAGTAGCAAGGAAGCCTTCAGCTAGGTTCAAAAGCCATTCACTAGCATGATTTTGAAGATAGTGAGAAAAGCATTGCATATAAAGACCATCATCACCCAACTCATTGGATAGGAGAGAAGAAATAATGTGGAAGAATATCTTGATGTATGCAAGGGCATTTTCAGTTGGCTTATTGTGGAATGTCAGAAGGCTATTGAGAATGTATGTGGCTTACACTCCAAAGTAGCTAAGTTAATACTAATATAGTATTAGTGGCAATCTAGGTCATTATTCACTAAGTAGGCTAACTAAGTTTAATTAAGGCTAACTAGTAAACTAAACTAACCAAGGATTGATTGATTTTAATTAATTAAATTAATTAGACAAATTTAATTAAAAAACCTAATTAACTAATGAAATGGAATTGTCAGTGTTTAACCCTTTCTAAAGTGGAGTCTTAAGAGTTATGGGATGCTAGATTCCTTGTCTATTCTTTTTAATTAGGCTTAGGTTAACTTCTACTCTCTTGACCCAAATTAAACCCCTTATACAATTTTGTATAAGTGTACCTTCCTAACCAATTCAATTAATCAAGTCCTTGCACAATTTTGTACAAGTCCTCAATCAATTCCTTAGCTAGGTGTAAAGTGATCAAAATCTCCCTTAGTTTTCCTTAAATGCAGCCTGGCCTATAGCATGTCAAATGCATAATTTTACACACAAGACATTTTATCAAACACCAACCAAATATATTTATACCTAATCAATGTAAGACATATTCAACACATATAAAGCATATATTTATATGAATTATAATGTGATGGAGAAAATTTCTAGCAACTATACAAAGTGAAACCATGTAGAAAAACACTAAACCAATAAGTTAAATACCAATTTTGGTCAACAAAAATAAGATATAACAATGCTCCTAATTTTAAGAACAAGATTACATTAACATTGGTTTAATGGAGAGTGGCCATAATCCTCAACCTTCCTTGAGACATTTCAAGACTCCTTTAGCATCCTTTCCTCCTAGCATTCCTTGTAGATTTAGCCTCTCCTCATCTTGGAACCCACTTGAGCACAATTCTTCCACCATACTCATGAACATCTTAAGGATTTTAAAGCCAAACCAAGAAAATAAAGCTTAAGGTTTGAAGAGTGAGGTGGAAGAAGAAGAATGGTGGAGTTGGATTAGGATTTTATGGTTGGATCATGAGATATGGAGGAGAAAAGGTCAGATAGAGTTGAAGAACATGAAGAACAATGGAGAGAGAATGGAGAAAGGTGAAGGCTGGAAAAATAATGAATGGAGGTGGAATGAGTGTTGAAAATGAATTAGGATAATGTGATTCAAATCTAGAGTGAAAGAGCCTAACTCTAGTGTTTAGTAAATAGGTGAAAAATGACCTAGGTCAATTTTATTTTTTACCACGTAAAATGGATCAAAATTTAAAAAAGGTCTAACAATTGAACTAAATAAAGCTAAAGGTAATAGAAAATTAAGAGAGAGAGTGAGTAGATTTAAAGTGTGATACAATGTGTGTAAGACCATGCAAGGCTTGTACTTTCATCCTAAAACTAAAGTGTTTTTCCTCTTGACTCATCTATTATTTCAATCCAATAGTCCTCATGTGTCAAATCCAAGGGGTACAAACCTAGACAAATAAATGTGACGCACAATACCAAAGTTCAAAGCATATGGATAATAATTGCTCTTCTAATTAAAGTTAATTTCCAAATAGGTGTCATAATACAATTAGATAATAAAAACTAATTCTGATATCATAAAAGAGACTTTAGGGTGTGCCAAATAGCCTACAAATTGTAAGCCCACACATGAACAAAAAATAACCTAGCCCAAGTGCAAGAAAACAAGTCAATCCAAAACTTTGACTTTCCAAAATTGTCAACTTGTAAAATTAATTACTCTCAATCTAAAATGAGTTTGAGAAATCTAATTAGACCATTGATCTTTTAGACTAAAAATGCATCTTAATAAATTTTCTCAAACATTTTCTCAAAAGTTCATTTTTATGACCAAAATGCCTCAAATGAACAGAATCTTACACTTAGATGATTTTTCACAATCAATGCAATAAGTGTGTAATTTGGGCAAATATAATATTATTTTTAGTCAATAATAACAAGAAAAATTTTGTAATAAATGTGACTTATTAGCTATTCAAATGATGAATCTTGAACTCATAGTTTCTAGATTGGATGCTCAACTAGATGGCTAAAGGGCTGGTATTCACATAAGGAAAAAAGATGTCCCTCTATCAAGGTATAGCAACTAGAACATGATCCACCATTAATGTCTTAATGCTAGAGATTTCCTCTACAGACTCTAGTTCATCAGAGTTTACTTGCTCAAGTTCCTCTTGATTTTTCTCCTGCCTCTTCTTTTTCCTGATAGTCCAGCACAATCACTTAATTTCTGTATTAGTGGGAGTCAACTCAACTTTAGAGGATTTTTAAAGTGTCTAGTTTGCATAAGATAGCTAAGGGAAAAAATAAAAATTTATAAGTAAAGAATGATAAAAAAAAAGGATAACAAAGTTATATGTCTTCCTGCAATAGTGCCAAAAAATTGATCGAACCTTGTAAGTGCATAAGATCAAAGTAGTAATAAATCTAGAGTATTTTGGGTCTAACCTAGAGGAAGACAATGATATTTGGTATTCAAGAAAACAAATAAGGATTTTTGAAAAATATTACTAATTTAATTAAAAAATAAATAAGAAAATTGATAAAAAGTGATGAGAAAATATGGCCACACATGTTGGCCTATTGTGCTCCACTCCCTGTTCTCTTTTGGGTGGGGTCTTCTACGTGTCATTTGGGCCTCTCAATAGGCCACACTCACCACATGTTTCTTTTATTATTGAAAAATGTTTTTTAAAAAAAATTAATTCAAACTAAGTTAGGTTGTCCGTACCTGCACTAAAGACCCAACACCATGATGGACCTTCTTTTTTTCATTTGATATGTTAGGCTTGCCAATCCAAAAATAAAAAAGCTCCCTTTTTTTTTTTTGTTTGGACTCGTTAGCCTAGTCCAAAAAAACCCCTTATTTTAATAAAAAAGGGCCTCTTACCAACCCAAAACCAAAAACTAGTTTTTTTTTTTTAGGTGGGGTTGCAATGACATCATTTCGCATCATCTTCCACCTATCGCTAGGTCTATTTGACCTAGTTCCTCTAGCAGGTCGGTTCCATCAGACCCAAAACTTTCAAAAGTCATATCTCCTTCATTCAATCTCCACTTTACGGCATTCTTAGTATTGTTTTCTTTGTTTTTTCAAGCTGTACAATGTTCATGCCATCCATTTGCCCAAAAAAACCATTTTCAAAGATCCAATTTTTGCTCTTGTTTATGGTTTGGAGTTTCGACACCTTCTATCACATATAGAACACATGGGAATCGTGTACAACCATATAAAACCCATTTTTGTTGACCAAGAAGCATCTTAACATGTTCACTTGACAAAAACAGTCATGAAAAATAGACAAAGGTAGTAATGACATATTTTCGAACATGAAAAATTGAGTAGGCAGACTTGAATGCATACATGGAGCAAGCAAATCATCATGTTTTTGTGAAACAGAATAAAAGTAGCCCAAAATCAATAGCAGCAACTCTAATACCAATGTAAGTTTTTGGAGGAGGAAAGCATATCTAAATGAGATAAGTTGCACCGGATAAGACATATGTGAGCACAAACTCAAACTGCAAAATTGGTTCGTTAACACAATAAGAGCATAGAGAGAAGAGAGAAAAGAGATGGGAGAAAGTTTTCTAGGAATGCAGAGGGTGTCTTCATTTTCTCTCTAGCTTCTATAAACCACCCACAAAGTGCTTATATGAAGAACGCGCATATTTTTAGAGAAAACTGTTCCTGCTCATGATTCAAAAATGAACAAAGAGAATTTTACACTTATGGTCCCAATTTTATTATACACAAAGACATATATTTCTCAAGCCTCAGCATTGATTTTGGGATTTGATCCACTAAGGGAGATGACCCAACATTTGAAAGTTGGAGGAAGTGCACGTATATTGAACCGATGACCTAGACTTGTTTACTGGAATCATATTAAATGAAATAAACCAATCAGATTGCGATCTTTACATACAACCTAAGTCTATTAATCTTTACATACAACCTAAGTCTATTAACCAATAAGAGTGGAGGCACTTTTGGCCAATTAGATTCATGTTAGTTAATTGATTGAGAAAGAATATTCAGAAAGTCATAGTGGTTCAGGCAAATCCTTCCATAGAAGGGCTGAACCATAAAAGTGCAGAAATGGATAGATGACAATTCACAGTACATGATGATAATTTTCGTAGTTATTTCATCTGTGTTTTTTTATACATTTACTTTTCTTCCCAAAAAAAAAAGAGTCATTCATAATTGTTAAACGTATTCTTTAGGTCAATTCCAAGGGTGTTTTACCTTGTCCTTACAAGCATAGTTTCAAAGCCTTCTTTATGACTCCAAAGTCATTGCATAAAATTTTCCCTCCCAACTCACATAACTAATAATTAACAAGAATGATGATAATTATTTGCAAAAGCCTATAACCAGAGAAGGAAAAATAAAATATAATTCATGAGCGCTACTACTCTCATGAGGGGGAAAAAGGACAATTTTTTTTTTTTTTAAAGCATGAGAAAGACAAATAGGCAAAATATACAGCAGCTAGCTACGCAAGTCTTGCCAGATAGGCTTCTAGCAGTGCCAATATTGGACATCCAGTCTGTGTAGTATCAAGTGAGTTCTGATATTTGCTACCATAGCATTCTACAAAATGCAACAAGTATATCAATGACTTGTCGCCCAGAAAAATTTAGTAAAAATCCTGTGGAACCAATCGACAAATATTGAGTACTCTGCTGTTGTATCACAAATCTGTGGTCTAATATATAGGGTCAAAGGTAAAGTGAAAAAGTGCTCATTTCAATGTTGTGTAATGGTTTTCCTCCATGTTTGATCCCACATCAACCGTTGTCCGTTGAGATCACAGAAGGAATAAATCATTTTCCTGTTGGCAACTGGGAAATGAAAAGGCAGGGACCAAAGTTGGTTCACTGGACCAAGGTGTCAAAAACACTGATTTTCTTTAAAATCTTTGGCCGATAACAAGCTATTGATAAGGCGTCCAAGCCTTTTAGCCCCAGGACCAGGCCTAAGTTTAGTGATGTTTTTTATGCCGTGATCGAAGAAGGTCATGTTTGATTTAACTCGACTGAACCACCTACCAGGCACATATCCCTCAGTGTTTTGGCCCAAGAGCTCAGTATCAATCTTATCCAGGACTGGTTCATTCTTGCCAAACTTCCTTGCAAAAGGAGCATTGCTGTCTACCATTCTCCCGTAGTCTTTATCTTTAAGGAAATGTGGGTGTTGTTTTGGAGGGTTGTCCCATGATATGAAATGGAGGTCATGGTTCACAGTAGTGTTGCGAAACTCCTCAGCATTGCAGATGACCGTATGAAAGTATCCTTCAGGTGATGATAGAAAGTTGGCATAGTACATTAATACCTTCCTGGGCAAGTTATCCCAACCCCATATACAATATTCAATAAATGGCCGAGAGAGCATCATCCAGGCCGAACCTGAGCAAAATCAAGGAGCAAGATCAAACTCAGAGCACAGAATCTAGGACTACAAATCAGTTTCTGCAGACTTCAAGTCTTCCAGTTAAAGTTGCACCTATCAACTTCAAGACAAATATGAAATCTTGCGAGAGAAAAATAAAATGAATGCTTGTTTTCATAAAGTATTCTCTTAACCACTATTTCATTATTTTTCTTTGTCTCCAATATATTAAAGGGTTAGATGTTTCATTAACCAATTTGACCTTCCTAGAACTTAAGAGATGATTGAATTAAGCTTTGGCCAAAATAAGAGATGATTGAATTAAGCAGGCATGAATAGAAGAAAATAGAGATTAAATTAAAACAAGAGGTACTAAAACAAAATTTCTCACCTGTAAACAGCTTATATGCTGTGGGCACATTCCTTTTTTCTGTCACCCAAAATACCTCAGATTTATGCACGCTATAAAGACCTGGGTCGATTATTATAGGCTTGGCCCTATGATTCCTGTTGAAAATGGTAATGTTTCACTTGTAAAGCTGAGGTAGATTTGATCTTCCACACAATCGTATGCTATTTTTTAAGGAAATTTAGTAAAAGTTGACATGAACAAAATGGAAGAAAGGATCGGAAGCATACTCCTTCCAGCCAATGTCACTGGTGTGCTCAATGAAATTGAAGTGTCTTGGAATAGTTGAAAGTGCATATAGCAGATCTGTTGTAAGAATTCGAGTGAAGGACTAATAATAGAATTGGGCAACACTTTCAGATTCTTTTAAAAGATAACAGATTCCAACAGGAACTAGCAAACATTAATTCTCCATAATATAAGTAAATGGCTAAAATGCAAATAACCCTGAAACTTTGGCACACAAAAAACGACCTTCTGGTTTCAACTTGGTAGATTAACGAGTCTAAATATAGCAAATAATATTATACACTAAGAAGGAAAAGGAAATAACTAAATAAAAAGATTGAATTAAAAATTTAAAACTTGATCAAAAAAGTATGTTATAAGGGGAAAAAAAATCTGTTAACTTGCTATTGCAATTTCATGGTATAAATTTCTGACATGTGTTAAATGTTTAAATGGTCAAGTAATAGAATTGAGACCGTAGGGATGATTTACGATTGGGACAGAGCTGACATAGGTGATTTTCAGTCAGCCACGATTTGTAATGAAAATGAGCATGTATTCAATATAAATGAGATGACATGGCTATGGTTTCAAAGAACAAGAATCAATTCGTGAAAAGAAGAGTTCCAAGCAGTTTTAGGCAATCCCTGATATTTTTCAGAAGCCCAAGAAAGCTGAAGAAAGAAGAAACCCACCCACGACAACATTGTGAAAAGTTAATTCATTAAGTGATATGCAAACTAGTTGATTTAAAATGATGGTAACGGTAGAGAAGAACAGAGCAATCTGTACTACGACATAAACCGGATCAAGCTAAATCTACTCAAACATCACTGTAGTAATCTGGGACTAAAATTAGAAAAATCGTTGCAGCTGGAAATACCAAAGAGAAACAATTGGTTAGGTTCTCTCCAACGCACTCAATTTCACCAAATTCATATACCCTAAGTCACAAACAAAACACTCTTTTATTTACTCATCAACATATTAAATCTACCAAAGAAAAAGAAAGAAAGAGAACAATTCGTACCGTCCTGAGTGACTAGAGGATAATCCGAAGCACTCAAATTAATGAACCAATCCCAATCGCCACCTTCCTTGAGCAAAATGGCAGCAGCGTGAAGCGTGTTGGTCACCATGGTAGGTCCTCTATAAGTGACCAAGTTGGCCTTTACTATCACTCTCACATTGCCCAATTGCGCAAAGAGAGGCTCGTTTTTCACATAATTGGCCAGCTTCAGTCTCTCCTCTATCGAAGCCTCAAGGTCCAAATGTACAGCGTACTGATTCCTCGGATGATAAAGCGCCTTCAGCGTCCTCTTCAAGCTCTCGCCATCTCCCGTTGATCCCGAGATCAAGTAGGCGATTCTTGGGAGAGAGTTGTCCAATGTCGGAGACACCCTCAGCTTAGATTCAACGAAGTGAGGGACATCCTTTGTGACGCGGATACGGTAGAATTGGAAGGAAGAACTGGACGAAACGAAAACGGAGACGAAGATGAGCAGGGTGGATAATACTAGAGAGAAAACCAGTGGTACAAACCACTTCTTCTTCTTCAGTAACTTGTTGGAGTCCATGCCAAGAAGATGAAGATCACCAAGATGGCGATGGAGACGAAGAAGAAGGTGTTGAGAGTAGGAAGCTCAGGCAGAAGTACGAGCCTTGAGACTTGAGTGTCGGAGGTGAAAGAAGCTCGAAGGGGAAAAGTGTGGAGGGACAGCGCAAGATAAGGGAGCGTGCGCCGGAGAATTTTTGTTGGGTGCGTAATGCGCCAAGGCCAGAAGGCTTACGTGGCCAGTGGGTGTGTGTGTGTGTGGGACAGTGAATGAAGGAGAGGGAGAATAACGAGAATGAAAGACTTTGGGGATTTTTAAAAATATATAGTATTTATTTTTGTATATAGTTTGACAGTGAATTAAATTTAACAATAATTATTATTTTAATGTTTAAAAATGATTATACTTTCCATATGTTCTTATAATGCAGCTAAGTTTCTGCATGCATTCTTTTTCATTTTTTTTCCTGATGGAGTGCTACCTCTTTTAAATATACAAGGCATTTTTATATATTCCTGACAGATAATATCTTTTACCTAAAATTTTAAAGGAATATATCAAAATTACTTACCTTCCAATAAAACAAATAATTAAAAGTTAGTATTTTATAAAAATATTAAATGATAATTTTATCCTTAAACTATAGATTTAAAAGTTTGTGGGACTTTAAACTCACTCTAATGTAATGTTCCCCTTCAATATTTAAAAATATTGCCATGTCACCCTTGTAATTAGTAAATGTTACTTTTGACTGTTACTGAACCAGAAAATTATAAGAATGATTGAAAAGATTATAAAAAAAATGATATCAAAAATTATAAAAGAGGACCAAAAATTATAAAATTTTATATGACATGTTTCTATAATTTTTGAGGAATTTTTCTATAATTTTTTAGTCAATTTTTTGCTAACAGTAAGATCAAATTGGATTGTTTTTAAATGTTAAAGAAGAATATTGCATAAGCTCAAGATCTCACACATTTTGGAACTATAGATTAAATATAAAAATATCATTTAACGCTTTATAACATACTTTATATATTGAAATATAAAAATTTTCAAATCAAAAATGCCTTAGATTTTGAAAGGTAGGGACTATAATTATTTGATTAATGTATATTATATAACTTTAGCATATAATTATTTTTCCAACCAATGAGACTTTTATCCAGTGCTTCACGCCATATTTTTTGGATTTATTGTGAATTATATCTATAATTATAATAAATAAAAAATAATTATAATTAGAATAAAATTAATCAATTGTAAAATAAGAAAAATTATTGAAACTATAAAATTTGGCACAATAAACGTTTAATAAATTTTTTCTATCAAATTAGGTCAGATTTAGACTAAAATCTCATGAAAGTTTTTTGCAGTTAGAGTGACGCAAAGATAAGGTGCTTAATGTATAGAAGCCACAGCTTATAAATTATACTCCCTCCATTTAAAAATGTAAGGTATTTTTTAAGAAGTTGGATATTCAAAAATATAAGGCATTTTTAGTCTTTTGAGGTATAATCATTGCTTCTTTTCAAAAGTGCTCCTATTGATAATGACTTTATATTGATTGTAGCGTGTTTAATAGGGGTAAATATGAAAAGATAAAGTTAATTAAAAAAGTGGGTAACTACTTTATTGAGAGGTAAGATTCAGTTAAAAATGCATTATATTTTTGAATGGAGAGAATAGTAATTTTTCCTTTCCATCTCATTAATTATAAATATGGAGGATCTGTCCTAAAATTTCTTTTAGTATAATCTTCATGTGTGTGTGTATTTGCGCACACCTATATATATATATATATATATATAACTTGTAGAAATGTTATATATAATCATAATAAGAAAAGGGGAAAATATGTAACGCCTCACATCTATGCGTTGAGAGGAAATGTAATATTACATGTAAGATGAAGGCAACAATCAGTATTTATTTATTTATCTATATATATAATATAAAAGCTCAAATAAGTTGCTTTATTCAATAGTTATAAATAATATGATTTATTTTCTCCATGACCAATTTTTTCCTAAAATGAAAAGCAATCATATAACAATAGAGGAGGTTGGGAAATGACATTGGAAGGTTGGATGACGCAGTCGTTTGGTCCAGAAAGGTGGCGGAATTGCGTGAAGCTGGAGCTCAAGAATCAAGTTTTTTCCCAACAAAATAATTATTGAGAAAATTTCAGTCAGGGACCCTTGTTAGAACTTAATTAAAAAAAAAGAACTCCAAATTTTTGAAACTTCACTGAAGGACTCGTACGGAATTTCTGTTGAATTTGTGAAGAAAATGAAAAAATTACCCTCATCTAAATGGAAAATATAAACAGTTTGTTTGTTCCTATTCTAAATGTTGTTCATTTACTTATAAAATTTATTCATTTCTCTACTTCATTTGTTTGTGCTCTAAAGGCTATAAACAAGTGAAGTAGAGCAATAAACAATATTTGGTAAGTAAATGAACAACATACAGCATGGAAAACGAACAAGTCATCTTATCATGAAACTAACATGGAATGAAATCAAGTGAAATTAGGCTTATAAACAAGTAAAGTAAGGGAACGGACAACATTCCTTAAGTAAATGAATAACATTGAGCTTTTCACAGTTTAATGATTCATTCGTGATTCAATATGGTCCCATGTGTAATTTGTCACTTTAGGCACACTGATTAATGTTTTACACTTGAATTAGTAGTGATCTATGTGTGATTTGTCACTTGTGTTTGTGTGATACCTTGATGAAGTTTTTATGCTCCAACTCACACAAGTTAAAATTTAGCCACTTAATGTCGATTTCACCAAATATGGCCAAAATCACAAAATCACAATCATACACTATTGGGCCTCTATTGCCACATAATACACCACATATACATTATCACTACATGTATACAACATTCCAGACACTTGTATTAGTATTTTAGTCCTTCACCACAAAAATCATCACATATTCACATCATATATAATATTGGGCAAAAATACAAAATAGCATAGTATAATACAGGTGTAACCAACCCAAATGGCATACATTCCTAGTTGGCAACTCACATTATCATCCATTTAAATTTACATACACAATTTAAAATAAAATTAGGCGTTACAAGTACAAGTGGAGCTATTCAGCTAATCCTTGCCCGATTCATTCCCTTGATCAAACTCGACAGTATGACCTGTAAAATAATAACCACTAGATAAGATAAAAATCTCAGTAACTAAGATAATCTACATCATTGATTAGCATGGCAAGTTATAAACAAACTTTAAGATATGCATAACAATCACACCATATATAATTCACCATAATAAAATGCATGATTGCTAATCATCTGGTCCTCTAACACTCTTGATTGAACCAGTAGGCTATTTCACATAATCAAACCACATGAATGGTCCCTAAGCTCATCACCCATGGTATGACTAGTCGACCAAAGTGTCCTAAACCACTTATGGACTACAGGTTCTCCCTATTACAAGTAATTGGGGTGTTGTTACTCCAATAAAGGTGGCTTTTAAGTAGTATGTAACAACTTACTGGCTGTAGCAAGGTTTCTTGTCAAATCAAAACAAGTCTTGAGAGTTGTACTGTGATATGAAGCACCCAATGAAGCTTGTAAGTTTGGTTAGAAATCTCAAGTATGATCTTTATGACTAGATGTAGGCAAGTTTTAGGCTAAACTAGGATAAATCTTGTGTGTCTTATTTCTTCTTTCCTTGCTCCTATCTTCCTCACATTTTTCTAGAAATTTTTAGTGTCACGCAATTCATTCCTCTCTTGGGTGTCATCCTATCCAACAATTGTTATCAAAGCTTAGACTCTTGATTAAGGACTTAACAGTCTAATAGGATCCTATGGCTAGTTTTGGTGATAGTGTACTCCCAAAAGGTACTGAGATTAATAGGTCTCTAGGATTCAATGGTGACAATTACACCTTTTTGCAGAGCAAGATGGGATTGTTCTTTGAGGAATCAGACCTTGATTTGTGGGAGATTGTTGGGAATGGTTCTTATGTTCCAATGAAAATAGTGGAAGGATAATAAATGAGAAAAGTAAAGAGTGAATTTACAGAAAAAGAAGAGAAGTTGATGCTACTGAACTCCAATATAGCAAATTCCTTAAGTCAATAAAAATACTTCCGTGTCAACAATTTTGAGACAATAAAAGAAATGTCGGATGCTCTTAAGATCACACATGAAAGCACAAAAGGAGTTAAAGAGACCAAAATCAGTGCACTGACTTAGGAGTATGAGCTTGTTAAGATGAAGCCTCAAGAAAGCATCAAGGAAATGCAAGTAAGATATACACATATGATGAATGAGCATATAGCATTTAGAAAGACTTACACATAATGGGAGCAAGTTAGAAAAATCATGAGAGGTTTTCTTGTTGAATGGCAACTAAAAATCACTACCATTGAGGAAGCAAAAAGTGATTCCGTGAGATCTGTGGCAACATTGTTTGGAAGTCTTGTTGAACATGAAGGAAGATTATCCATGCTAAAAGAAGATGTTAAGAAGAAGAAGAAATCACTAGCACTAAAAGTATCAAAAGAAAATTCTAACTTTAAGACCAGTGATAGTGAAGACTTTAATAAGGAAATGGCCATAATTGTCAAAAAGTTTGACAAATTCTTTAGGAAGAAGAAATTCAAAAAGAAATTCTTGAAGAAAAAAGACAAGGAGATCATTTGCTTCAAATGCAAAAAGCCAGGACACATTAAAGTTGATTATCCCCTAAAACAAGCGAGTAAGCTATAAGTATGACAAGAAGAAGTTCAAGGCATATGTCTCTTCAATATGGGGTGACAGTGATGAGAAATCTGCATAAGAAGAAGAAGCAAATCTCTGTCTAATGGCCAAGAGAAACATTAATCAAGTAAATGATTCTAACTCAAATTTTGACTATAATTTTACCTTTAAAGAATTGAAAATTACTTTTAAGGAATTACATAATGAATCCTTTCTACTTATGAAAAATCTTACTCAAGTTAAAAAGAAGCTTGCTATTTTACAAAGGAAAATATTTCTCTTAAAGCTGAAAGTGAAGCCTTGAAAAAGAAAAGTAAATATTTTGGAAAATGAAACTCAATGCGTAGATTGTTCACTCCATGTCTCT